CTGAGAGCCAACCTGGGTCTGCCTAAGGGCCTTAGCAACAGCAGCTGAGACATGATCTGGAGATGACCTGGACCAATGAGAGGCAGCCATGTCACACCAGCAGATACATATTCATAAGACCTTCCCCCCCTCTCTGGGGTGGGGTAGAGGGTATATAAGGCTTGCTTCTCCCTGAATAAACTGAGCTTGTTGTTTCAACATTCTCTCAATGTCTGTGTCATTGACTCTGTGCCTACTTGGCCCCCTCCCCACAAAGGGAACAACAGCACAGGACCCTGCCACAAGATCAGTGACCCCAAGTTCATTTTCAAGGGACTAATGGGAACTTTGAAGTTTTAAAGGAAGCAAGTTACCCAGAGTTTGCATCTCTGACTGGGGTGGGGGTGGTCTGATTGATTACTGTCTCAGTTATGGTTCTCCATGGACTTCTGAAGAAGCTGCTAATGTCTTCACTTGAGGACCACAGTCTGTCCAGGATGCAGCCTCACAGTGTGGATGACCGAACTCAGGGAGGGGGTCATCTGTCCTGTTACTTGGTGTGGGGGAGGTCAGCCCCTTGTAATAAGGATGTTTATCAGTTAGTCCTCTTCTTCCTGGTGTCTGCAAGAGAGTGTGGCCTAGGATATCATGCCTAATGGTCCAGGCCCATAATCCCAGAAATTTAGGAGGCCAAGGCAAGAAGAGCCCAAGTTTAAGGTCAGCTTTGAGACTCATGAAGAGGAAGGGACAGACTCAGGAGGAAAACTGTTGAAAGGCAAAATTAGAATCAGAAAGGAACAAAATGATTTATCTGGTACCTCCTTCAATATCTTATACCCCACAACATCTTATCAGCCAGTGGAGGCACTTGCCACCAAGCCTGATGACCTAATTCATCCCCCAGGACACACATGGTGCAAGAGATAACCAACTCCCCAAAGCTGTCCTCTAACCTCCACTTGTTCACCATGGCTTGCACACACACACACACACACACACACACACACACACACACACACACAAAGGCCAGGCTGTGCTGGAACTCACAGAGATCCACCTGCCTCTGTCTCCCAAGTGCTGGGATTAAAGGCGTGCGCCACCACCGCCTTATGTAGTTGTGGGATTTTTGTTTTGTTTTAAATACCTTAGGGCCAAATGACATGACAGTGCGTGTTGTCCCGAGCAGAGTGGTTCATGGAGGAACTGAGTAATGAGGGAAGATATCAGTGGTTCCACATCGGTAGCTTTTATCTGCTGACCTTTTGAGGAGAATTATTCAGAGCTCATGTGATTGCAGGACGGAAAACCTAACCTTGACCGAAACAAAACAGGGAATTTATTAGTTTACATGGCCAAAAACCCCAGAAGGCAGATCTAGTTCTGCCCACAGTTGGATCCAAGATTTTAAGTGAAGTCACCAAGATCTGGTCTCACATAGTCACCCCGCTCGGCTTCCTTCCTGGTAGGCAAAACCATCCTGGAATTTAATCCCATCTTGATGGACTGAGAGGCTGAAGAGGGAGGCCGAGTGTGGATAGCATCTGATATGATGTGCAGTCCTCAGCACCGGTAACTTCCTGTGGTTGACCCTTGGTCCCAAAGACTCTTCTCTTTCTGGTCCTAAGTTTACAACTATCATCAAAGATGGGATCTCAACAAGAGGGAAAGCTGGGGCCCCAGAGGGCGCTAGTGACTTCCCTTAAAAATATGCCCCCTGGGATTCACCTGGCTGAAAGATACACCAAAAGGCAAAGGACTCCACGAAGAAAGGAACTTGGAGCTGGAGATGAGCATTGTGGGGCGACAAACCAGAGGTGTGCGTATGTTCCTTGATTTAGGAACCAGCTAGGCAGTTTTCCTGTCAAGTGCTCAGGACTGGGACCAAAGCACAAATCTTAATGATAGCCTTTCATTAAAGGCATGGTGGCATGCACCTTTAGTCCCAGCACTCGGGAGGCACAGGCAGCAGATCTCTGTGAGTTCCAGGACAGACAGCGTTGTTACACAGAGAAACCTTTTCTCAAAAACCTAAATAAATAAATAATCTCCTTAAAAAAATTATAGACAGCAAGAGAACACAAGAAAAGGAGAAGAAGCCAGACACAGTGGCACACATCTTTAATCCTAACATTTGGGGGGCAGAGGCAGGCAGATCGCTGAGTTCAAGGCCAACCTGATCCACAAAGCGATTTCCAGGACAGCCAGAGCTACACAGAGAAACCCTGTCTTGAAGAAAAGAGAAGAGGTAAGGGGAATAGAGGAAGAGGAAGAGGAGAGGAGAGGAAAGAGAAGAGAGAAGAGAAGAGAAGAGAAGAGAAGAGAAGAGAAAAGGGAGAGAGGGAGAGAGGGAGGGGGGGTTAGGAGCATGGTTCAGTTGTAGATCACCTGCCTCGCATGAATGAGGCCCCTGGGTTTGATTCAGAGCACGGAGAGGCTAGAGAGGGATGGGAAGAGAATGCTTAGAACACAGGCTTCAGGGACTGTGAGAAAAACAAAGTTCAAGTCATACTCCACTTCAGCTACGCATAAAATAAAACAACAATAAAACTATTGCTTTACAGAAACTCAGTTTAAAAGCGGTGTTTACCTAGCTCCAAACCCATTGAACCAGACATATAGTCCTGGATTGGATTCTGGGGCAACGCCAAACCAGAGGACTACAATTCCCAGGATGCTGTGGGCCAGGCCGCGTCACGCCTGCGCAGAAGTAGTGCGATGCCGCCTCAAGCCATTTGAGGGCTCTGGAGCTTACTTAGTTTCAGGTGCTTAGAGTCCATGCTAAACTCAGTCTGGAGACCTAAATCAGCTTCCTGTGTTGGAGCCTCGGAGCCCTCAGCCCTGATTCCCACTTGTGCGTGTGAGCTATTCAGATCTTGCTCTTCCAAGACTAAGCTCTCACGTCCTTCTGGTGCAGACTCTGAACCAGCTTCAGAAGCACAGCAGCCCTCAGAAGCCCACTTCCCAGTGCAGTGGTTCCCCTCATCCGGTGCCCGCCCCCCAAACCACCCTTCCTCCCACACAACTGCCTGTCCTTGATTGCGACCTAGCTGTCTCCTAGGGAGACCCAAGCTGGCATCCTCAGAGATGCAGAGACCAGAGGGCCCTCCGCTACCACCCTTCTCACGTTCGCGCCGTGTCTACCAAGAGCTAGGTTCTCTGCTGTCTGGTTGATCTTTGGAACTTTGTAAATGGAAAGGAGAAAAGCGTGGGATGAAAACCTCTGCTTCCTATTTCTTCTGTCCTTTGAACCTCAAAAAGGTCGGTGGAGCTGGACAGAGGCCCTTGGCAGAGAAGGGGCTGGAGCTCCGGCTGAAGGCGATTTCTTTTCCCCCGGTTCTGCCGTGGGAAGCTGGAGCTAAGAAGGAGCTCACCAGGTTCAGCTTTTTGCCTGAGTCGGGTGAATCGTAGATGGGCTACAACGAAGTTGGAGGAGAACAGCCAATGGCGTGCGAGGGTTAGAGCAGTGTGTTACTACCGAGGAAGTTGGGGAGAAAGCTTAAGCAGTTTGGAACTGGGCTATATTTCTGTGACGGGGCTCAGACTACAAAGATGGATGATATGATGGATGACACTTTGTTCTCTTTTTTTTTTTCTCTGTGTAGTTTTGGTGCCTGTCCTGGAACTCACTAGTAGTCCAGGCTGGCCTCGAACTCACAGAGATCCGCCTGGCTCTGCCTCCCAAGTGCTGGGATTAAAGGCGTGTGCCACCACCGCCCGGCGACGCTTTGTTTTAAAACCTAAACATTTCTTACCCATTATCTCCTCTCCGTCCCTACTGCGACTTTTTTTTTTTTTTTTTTTTTGACATTTTTGACGTCTTCATAAGGGCCTGCCTAGCTCCATCTACAGGCCTCCAGTCCCCACAGCGGCCACTGGAGCTCATCCCTTGCTTCACTCAGTTCTACCTCACCAGAAGCAGAAAACCCAAACTCCTTAGCATGACTGGCCTCCGTCGCTCCACCAGACTCACCTGGCCCTTCCCTTTTCACGGCCCCATCACCTCGTGACCGATCAGTAACGCTCTAGAAGCCTCTTCTCCTAGGCCTTGTGGTGCCCCCTGCTGGACTGTTTTCTGCTCTTCCATTTTCCTTGTTACCGGTGATGTCTGCTTAGTCACTTCACCTGTGAATTACTCCGCAGGACCCCGTGTTTTCCTGATTTTAATAATTCTTAGAGTCGTTGAGTACTCACACTCAGTGCTTTATACATGGTAATTCATTTAAACCACACAACTTTTTTTTTTTTTTTTTAATGAACAGGGAGTCTGGAGAGATGGCTCAGCAGTTAAGAGCACTTGTTGCTCTTGCCAAGGATCCGGGTTTGGTTCCCAGCACCCACGTGGTCCCTCGCAGCCGACTGTAACTCCTGCCCCAGGAGACCCAACGCCCTCTCCTGGCCTCCATGAGCACTGCACAAACATACATGGAGGCAGAACACCCATAAACATAAAAATAAAGGTTAAACTTTTAAAATAATTTTATGGAGCTGGAGAGATGGCTCAGCAGTTAAGAGCACTTGGTACTCTTGCAGAGGGCCCTGGTTTGTTCCCAGCACCCACGTGGTGGTTCACAACCATCTGTAACTTCAGTTTTAGGGGATCCAGCATCATCTTCTGACCTCCCTAGACTCCAGGCACAGAAGTGGTGCACAGACATACATGCAAGCAAGACACCCATACACATAAAAATTAATAGAAATACTAAGACTCTTAAAAGGGCTGGGCAGATGGATCAGAGGGTAAAGTGCTTGCTCTGCACACATGAGATCTGAGTTGAATCCCAGCTCACATAAAAAAGCAGGGCACAGGAGCATGTGTTTGTAACCCTGGAATGGATTCAGGAACAGGTGGATCCCTGGAGCTCAATAGCCAGCCAGCTGGCCTATTCCACTAGCCCTGGGGCCCAGTAAGAGACCCTGCCTCAAAAACACAGATAGGAGCTGTAGGTGGAGTTTCTCTGTATCCCAGCAGCCATTCCCAAATAACCATTCAGAGACTTATTATTAATTATAAATGCTTGGCCGATAGCTCAGGCTTGTTACTAGCTAACTCTTACATTTTAAATTAGCCTATATTTCTTATCTACCCTCTGCCACATGACTGTATCTTCTTTTAACACCACCCATTCATCTTGCTTCTCTCTGTGTCTCTTGAGATTCACGAGACTCCGCCCTTCTTCCCAGTATTCTCTCTGTCCCGAAAATCCTGCCTAGCTATCGGCCAGTCAGCTTTTTATTAACAATGAGAGCAACACATATTTACAGTGTACAAAGATTGTTCCACAGCAAGGGGCTGACAAAATGTCTGGGGCAACGAGGCTTGGGGAGGAGGAGTAAAGGCATTTGCGGACGATCTGAGTTCAATCCCTGGGTACGACGATACAGGAAGAGGAGAGAATCAACTTCTACACACACTGTCCCCTCATTACCCTCTCCCACGAACACCACCACTAATAATAATCATCATAAATGTGAGTTTTTAAAAATTTAAATTTAACAAGATAGGCCGTGCCTGACTAGGAACATCCAGGATTAGCCTCTGGCCTCCACATGTATGCACATGCACACACACACACACACACACACACACACATCACATATGCACCCTCCCTCGTGAACACATGCATACACACAAAATTAACAATAGTAAATGACAAGATTATCTTCCCCATCCTACAGGTTCAGAAATGGAGGCCCATTTGCTTAAGAACACACAGGCGATAAGTGGAAGGTGTAGAACTTGAACTCAGGCAGTCTGGCTCCCAAGCCCACAGTTCTAACCTTGTTGCTCACCTGCCTATTACCACTGCATGCTATATAGTGCAGGAGGTGCAGGTTACGAATAAAGCAGGGGATGGGTGGCAGGCAGAGCGTAATGGATAGGGGTTTAAACATACGTAGTGACAAGCAGAGCTTGTTGCCAGAACTGTAGGCGACAACTGAGATGGTCACATAGACCGTGCTATGGTGACAGGGTGACAAGGAAGCCAATAGAGGTACTTGGCAGACAGAACGAAGACAGGGCAACTGATGCCACAATAAGGGTATAGGTGGCTAGGGGTTGGGGATTTAGCTCAGTGGTAGAGCGCTTGCCTAGCAAGCGCAAGGCTCTGGGTTCGGTCCTCAGCTCCGGGGGAGGGAGGGGAGGTATAGGTAGCACTCATAGGGGATGTGGGAGAATGGATGTGGAAACTGATGAAGGAGCTGGGCCAGCAGGTAGGGGGTCACAGTTACAGAAGTCATGGAGAGCGTAGTCCAGGACTGGTGAGCTTTCACCCCAGGGGCAATGGGATGGCTCTGAAAATAAGTTTTGTGAATGTTCTAGAACCAGGAATAGCACCTGAGTAGCTGGGCTCCAATCCTTCACCCTCAGCATCTACCTCTTCAATCCTTCCCCGGCTAGGCAACCCCAGAAATGCTCTACACAATGTCAAAGCTCACACGCCCACCCTTTGGGAGTCTGTCACAGGCCTGCAGCCTCTGGTTAAAATAAAAAGGTTTTGAGATGTTTTCTTTGAAAGCCAGGGGACACCACAGACAGCAGAGTCTCTGTCCAAGGTTTTCAGGTCAGGAACCAAGCTCGAGACTCCAGGAGCCTTCAGCTGAGGGCTCCCATGCATGGTACCCACCCACATCCTCTCTGGCTCTTACCTCCTCCTCCCTGCCCACTTCCTGTGTCTGAGCAGACAATGAGGTATCTGATAAGCTGAGAAGGGGAGATGAGGCACCCGGTTAAACTCCGGAAGGAGGAAAAAGTGTGAAGCAGGGAGTTTGGGGCCTCACAGGAGGACATAGAAAAGATAAATGTGGGGGGAGGGGCAGGGAGGAATCTGCCTTTGCACTCCATCCTCGGGAAGCCAGGAACCTTCATGCTCTGAGATGTGTGCCTTGAAACGTAAAGTTCAGGATAGGTCATCACCTGTCACTAAGCAATGGCTCAATGTCCTGGGGGTAGTCGGGAACTAGGCATTCGCTAACTAGCCAGGGCAGCAGGAGTCCCTGACCCAGTAGCTGAGCCCTGGTTGCCCACCATTCCAGGTCCTCCTCAGCTGGGTGCAGGCTGGCTGTTGGCATAGGCCTGATCTGGGAAGGAAGCCCGAGCTCGGCGTGTCTGGGCACACACCGAGGCATAGAGTTCCGGCTCAGGGCCCGGGGCCTGGGGCTTTGGCTCAGAGTCCAGCACCACCTCACAGTACTTTATGGGGGTCCCAGAGCTGGGGATCCGACCCTGAGCAGGTCGCAGCTGCAGGCTAGTGTAGCACATCCCTTCCTCTGTAGCCTGGAGAGGCGAGGCTGTTAGATGTTCTCTGGACCCTCGGGAACGGTCCCCGTTTCCTTCCCTCCCCTTTTCTTCGGCCAGCTGACTCACCCTGGCAGGGCCTCCAGAGGATGGGTCCTGCTGTTCTGGCCTTGGCTCTTGAGACAGTCGTCCTGCGGCAGGGGAACAGGAATCCGGTCAGCTCCTGCTTGCGCCTAGCATCTCTCCGTCTCTATCCCGCCTACCAAGAGCTGGCCAGCCCGTGTGCCCCGTTCCTCCGCCTGCAGTACCTACCTGTCTGTAAATAGTGCAGGTTCCCATACAGGGGAATTTCTTCCACGGACTCTCCAGAGCTGCAGCACAGAGTTCGGAAGATGAATGGGGACTTTTTTAGTTGAGAGAGAGTACTCAGTTAACCCACCCCAGTTGTCTTTTACTCACCGTCCCTGTCCCTCCTGGCTCCTGCTCCGATGAGTGGCCCACTGGGACAAGAGTGCAGCCAGTGAAATAAGAAACAGCACCGTCACAGCCCCTAAGAGGGCCCACAGTCCCCACGCGAAGGTTATGGAGGGAATCCCTGCGGATGTGAGTGGAGGGGGCTGTTACTGACCTGTACAAACCCCTTCCCCAACCAGCATCAGATAGGACATGGAACCACATAACCCCTCCCCCAGGAGCCCCTGCCCCGCCCAACTCACCCAATGCTAGCAGATGACCTGTGCAGTTGACATCTCCGCTCATGACTGCTGCTGGGGTGAGAGTCGGGTCCATAATCACACTGTCCTGAGCCAAGGGTCTGCCCTAGTCATGGCCGGACAGCTGTCACAGCCCCCCACAACCCCAATGTCTTCTTAAACCTGGCTTCCACAGCTCAGCATCGCCAATACTGACGGTGGCAAAGTTGTTGGTTTCCGGGGAGGAAGGCAGAGAGGAGGGATGAGCAAAAGAACAAAAGACCCCGCCCTGTGCCTGCACCTGCAACACGGGAGCTCTCAACTCTCTGAAATCCCCACGGCCCTGAGTCCCCTTCACCAGAGAGGAGTCACAGGCCTGAGTGCTCCGTGCCATTGCGGGTGAGTCCACAAAGACTCTGAAGAGCGGAGGTGACCTGAGACAGGACTAACAAAGACAGGAGCCCCTTGTCGTGAGATGTCCACCTTTTCTCTCTGGCTCACATTGCCGTGAAGGAGATGTATGCCTCAGTGAGCAGGCTCTAAAATGGAATGGTTTCAGAATTCATGGTTCCACGACAGGAAATAGATAGATTTATTTATGGATCCCAGGCTTGCCTCAAACTCAATATGAACTCGAACTTCTGCCCTTCCTTCCTCCACCTACCTAGTTCTGGAATTACGGGCATGTACCACCATGTCCGGCTGAGATAATATCTGTATATTATTGTTGTTACTAGTATTATACTCGAGGATAGGAAGACAGAGGAGGCTAGATTCCTTCCTCACAACTTAACTCATCCAAACTGTCTATAAGAACCTGACACTCCATTAATTGCAATAAGGGACTCTCTGTCTCAGGCTAATTCAGGCAAATTGGGCCCGTCTTTGCAGTTATTCACTTGCTAGAGGGAGTTCCAGGGCTACATGGTGAAACCCTGTCTTGGAGATAGCTCAATGGGGAAGTACTTGTCTAGTAATTGTGAGGGCCTGAGTTTGGGTCTCCAACACCCACATAAAAGCCAGGCTCAGTGGCACACATCTGGAACCTCAGCTTTACATGGTGGCAGGGAAGCAGGTGGATCACTAGAGCTCTTGGGCCAGCCAGTCCAGCTGAGTCAGTGAGCTCCCTGTTCAGTGAGAGACCCTGTCTCAAAGAATAAAGTGGAGTGTACCAAAGAAGGACACAAGAAGTTGATTTCCGGACTCCAGGGAACATGTGGACTCACATACATGCATGCACACGCACACACACACACACACACACACACACACACACACACACACACACACCACATATTTTTTTAAAGTTTTATAGATCTTAGTTCTAAATTGTTGTGAACACTGATGAGTTCCTATGATGTGTATGCTTCAAATTAGCACTGGGGTGGGGGCAGGGTCTTATGTAACCCAAGCTCATTGTACAGTGGAGACTGGCCTTGAACTGCTGCTCCACCTGCTGAGTGCTGAGATCACAGGCTTACTCAGGCAGCACAGCTGTTGCTTATCTTTTTAAAAACATCATAAACAGGTGTGGTGTCTCATACCCATAATCTTGGAACACTGCATAAGAGGCCAGCTGGACTGTATATGGAGCTATAAACAAGTAAATAAACTAAAGACATTGTCTTTCCATAGAAGAAAATTCAGAGAACATTTAGTCATGCAAGGGGCCCTTGACACAAGCAGATCTTAAACCCAGCGTTCAAAAGGCAGAGGCAGGTAGATCTCTGTGAGTTCAAGGCCAGCCTGTTCTACATTAGAGGGTTCAAGGCCAGACCAGGTTATAAAATGAGACCCTGCATACATACATACATACATACATACATACATACATAAAACAAATAACGATGAACTAAGGGTATACTAGCTCATTGGTAGAACTTGTCCTAAGTATACGCAAGCCCCTGGGTTCAATCAACAACACCAGCCCCTGGCCCAAAATTTAAAACAAACAAAATAGGTACTGGAGGGTCTGACTCAGAGGTTAAGAGCACTTGCTGCTCTTGCAGAGGACCCAGGTTTGATTTCCAACATCCATATGGAGGCCTACAACCATCTGTAACTCCAGTTCCAGGAGACCCAGCGTTCTCTTCTGACCACCCAGGGCACCAAGCACAAATGTCTCACACAAGCATACATGAGACAAAGTGTTCCAGTGGCTCAGTCATTAATAATGCTGGCTGCTCTTCTAGAGGGTCAGAGTTTGATTCCCAGTACCCATAGGATAGCTCACAACCATCCAATTCTGGGGAATCTGACATTCCCTTCTGGCCACTCTGGCACCAGGCATGCAAGTAGTACACAGACAGATATGTACCCATACCATATGTGAAATAAAAATTTTAAAATCTCAAAAAAACAAAAACAAAAATAAATTCTTGTGTGTGTGTGTGTGTGTGTGTGTGTGTGTGTGTGTGTGTGTGTGTGTGTTTCGAGACAGGGTTTCTCCGTGTAGGTTTTGGTTTTTGGTGCCTGTCCTGGATCTCACTCTGTAGACCAGGCTGGCCTGGAACTCACAGAGATCCACCTGGCTCTGCCTCCCGAGTGCTGGGATTAAAGATGTGCACCACCACCCCCCTGCCCAAAAAAACATTCTTACACATTAAATAAAATAAATAAATCTAAAAAAACTAAAAACAATTTATTCCAAAAATAACAGGAAAAAATACTGGTTGCAACATACAGGGAGAGGGACCAGGACCTGGATTCAATCCCCAGAGTCAGTAAATAAGTAAAACTAAAAATTATGGAATGATTATAAAGTTGAGAAAAGTAACTCTGTTACTTTAATTCCCAATTCCTTCATTCAAGGAGACCATTTGGAGTTTTAATTTATATTTAAGGTTTTCTGAAATCTGTTGTGAATCTTTGCTAATTTTTTCCTTATAACTAGTACATTTTCTAGTTGTATATCTGTTGCTTCATATGACAGAAACTTTTTTATAAATTATGTGTATGGGAGATGCACAGGTGCAGGTGTCTTTGGAGGCCAGAGACGGTGTCAGAGCCCCTGAAACCGGCGTTGTAGGTAATTGCGAGCCACTAGACCTGCATGATGTGACTTGAACCCTGGTCCTCTGGAAGAGCAACAAGAGCTCTGAACCACTGAGCCATCCCTCCAGACCCTAAAAGAAATGTTTTGAAATGACATTTAAGGGCTGTGGGGTGGATGGCTCAGTAAGACTGTTTGCTATGGAGGCATGCGGACCTGGGTTTGAAGCCCCAACTCCCACACCAGTGTTGAGAGCAGGAAGATCCTTGGAGTTCTTTGGCCAGCCAGTCTAGACAAGACAAAATGGAAGCAAGACAACGCCCTTCTCCACATATGTGTGCATGGGTACACATACCCATTTACACTACCCACAAAAAGAAATAATAAACTCTACAAAAGGAAAATTAAAATACTGTTCATCACTCATATCAACATGAAGAATCACTGTACTTTCTTCTTTAAAATGTAATAATGTAATTATTAAATTAAAGTAATTAAGATATTACTGTTTCTTGTTCTGTAATTAATTTAAATTTGTTAACTATATACATTTCTATACTAGCACGCTTATATATCTACAGAGTTCAATAATTTTTAAATTATGTTCCTTGTCTGTGTCTTTCCTGATTTATTTTTTATTTTATTTTATTCAAAATAATTTTGACATTTAGAGAATTTTTTTTTTTTTTTTGGTTTTTCGAGACAGGGTTTCTCTGTGTAGCTTTGCGCCTTTCCTGGAACTCACTTGGTAGTCCAGGCTGGCCTCGAACTCACAGAGATCCGCCTGGCTCTGCCTCCCGAGTGCTGGGATTAAAGGCGTGCGCCACCACCACCCGGCGATAATTTTTTAAAATATCTACTTGGAGGGACTGGAGAGATGGCTCGGAGGTTAAGAGCACTGGCTGCTCTTCCAGAGGTCCTGAGTTCAATTCCCAGCCACCACATGGTGGCTCACAACCATCTCTAATGAGATCTGGTGCCCTCTTATGGCGTACAGGCATACGTGCAGATAGAACACTGTATACATAATAAATAAATAAAATACCTACTTGGGGCTAGAGATGTAGCTCTATTGATAGCATGGTTACCTAATATTCACACAGCCCTGGGTTTGATAGCCAGTACTAAATAAATTGCACACCTACAATCCCAGCACTCCAGAGGTAGTAGGATCCAGAGGATCAGATGCTCAAGGCCATCCTTGTCTATATAGCGTGCTCAAGACCAGCCTGGATTGCACAGGCCCTTGACTCAAACATTTAAAAAAAAATCTACTTGGGTACCAAACTAAGTGTAGGATTGATTTCTTATCACTATTTAAAAACAGAAAGATTTCCAGCACTTGGGTGGTGATATCGGAGGAGCATGAGTTGGAGGCCAATCTGGGCTATGTAAAGAGTTCAAATTCAGCCTAGACCACATAGCATGAGCTTGTTTTTAAAAAATCATGAAATTTGCAGGCAAATGAATGGAACTAGAAAAAAAAAATCATTCTGAGCAAGGTAACCCAGACCCAGAAAGACAAGCATGTTATGTACTCATTCATAAGTGGACATTGGCTGTAAAGGACAATCATGCTACAACCCACAGACCCAGAAAGGCTAAGTAACAAGCAGGACTCTCAGGAAGATGCATGGATCTCCCCAGGAAGGGGAAATAGAATAGATTTTGCAGGTGGACTAGGGTGAGTGGGGATGGGAACAGGAGGGATCCGGTGGAGGGTGGGGGGAAGGGAGAGAGTATGGAGAGAGATTGGAATTGGAGGGCGTTTGGGGAGCAATATGGAAACCTAGTGTAGTGGAAACTCTCAGGAATCTACGAGGGTGACCCTGTCAAAGACTCCTCCGTAGAGGATATGGAGCCTGAACGGGCCATCTTCTGTAACCAGGTAAGGCTTCCAGTGGTGGGGCTGGGACATCAACCCAGCCACAAAACCTTCGACCTACAGTCCATCCTGCCTACAAGATGTGCTGGGGTAATGGAGGTGCAGAACTTGTGGGAGTGGCCGACCAATGACTGGTCTAAATTGAGGCCCACTCCACGAGAGGAAGCCCATGCCCGACACTGCCTGGATGAGCAGAAATCAGAGGCTGGATATTCCAGAGACCTAGGATTAAAAAAAAAAAAATCAATGAAATAACTTCTAATGATACTCTGCTGTATTCATAGATCGGTGCCTGGGCTGGGGAGATGGCTTAGCAGTTGAGAGTTCTGACTGCTCTTCCAGAGGACCTGGGTTCAATTTCCAGCACCCACATGGCAGCTCACAGCTGTCTGTAACTCCAGTTCCAGGGGATCTGACTCTTCAGCACAGACATACATGCAAGCAAAACATTGATAAAATAAATAAATAATCGTAGATCGGTGCCTAGCCCAATCATCATCAGAGAGGCTTCCTCTGGCAGCTGACGGGAGCAGATGCAGAGACTCGGGGCAAAACATGAGGCAGAGAGAGAGCCCAAATTGGGGATTCCCTTTGGGTCCCTCCCTGTGGAGTTCGGGAACCCCTGAGGAAGAGGGGGGAGGATGAATTGTAGGAGGCAGAGGGGTGGAGGACACCAATGAGAACACGGTGGACAGAATCAACTAAGCAGGCCTCACAGGGGCTCACAGAGACTGCAGCGAGGACCAAGGAGCCTGCACTGGTCTGCGCTAGGTCCTATGCTACGGTTGTTTAGCTTGGGGTTTTTGTGGGACTCAGAACAGCAGAAGTGGGGGTGTCTCTGACTCTATCACCTGGCCTTGGGACCCCCTTCCTCTTACTGGGCTTCCTCGACCAGCCTTGACATGAGGGTTTGTGCCTGGTCTTGTATCTTATCCTGTGTTCCTTTGATATCCCTGGGAATCCTGCTCTTTTCTGAGTGGAAATGGAAGAAAAGTGTATTTGGGGGAGGGGGGGTTGGGAGGGATGGAGAGAGAGGAAACTGTAGTCAGGATGTACTGTATGAGAAATGAATAAATTAAAAAATAAATAAATAGGAAATTTCTTGTTGTTTTTGTCTTGTTTGTTTGCTTTTCGAGACAGGGTTTCTCTGTAGCTTTGGCTGTCCTGGAACTCACTCTGTAGACCAGGCTGTCCTCCAACTCACAGAGATCCACCTGCCTCTGTCTCCCTAGTGCTGGGATTAAAGGCGTGCACCATCACTGCCTGGAAATAAATAAGAGTTTTTAAATCTTTTTTTTTTTTGAGGGTCTTACTGGGTACCTCTGGCTGTCCTGAAACTCACTCTGTAGACCAGCCTGGCCTTGAACTCACAGAGATCCTCCTGCTTCTGCCTCCTGAGTGCTGAGATTAAAGGCGTGTGCCACTATGGCCTGGCAATTCTTTAAAATCTTGATTGACTGATTCTCTGGAAGAAAGAAGTTGGAAGATCTGGCAATAGTGGACAAGAGTTCTCTGAGGTAGCAATCTGAGCCCAGGTGTTGTGACACATGTCTGAGGGATTATGAGTTTGAATCTAGCCTGGACTATAGAACAAGACCATGTATCAAACTAAAACTAAAACAAAGACAGTAGCTGGGGTCACAGCTCAGTAGTAGAGTACCTGCCTACCATGTGTGAGGACACTGGCCAGACCCCAGTACCACTAAAATCAAACAATGAGACCTTATTCTGAAGACCAGGTTTGGTGGCACACACATATGGTCCCAGTGCACTGGACGGAAAAGCAGGAGGTTCAGAAGTTCAAGGCCATCCTTGGCTGTATACATAGTGAGTTCTGACTGGACTACATGACTCAAAAATCCAAAAACAAACCAACAGGCCACCTTCAGGTGAGAGAGATGTATCCCATAGGATGGGCCTGAACTTATTTACATGCACTGTGCCAACTGGCATGGACTCGAGGTTTGTATTACCCTACTCTCCCATCCCAGCCGTCTTGGAGCAATCAGACTTTGACAACTCCCATTGCCCTGCCCTGCCCTTCTGCCTCCCTTTCTGGAAAAACAAGACTAGACTCCCATATTTTATTCCTTTATTTAACACACGTGCACCTCTTGCCCGGTGATTGCCAAGTCCTGAAGACAGATGTAAATGGAACATGTTTCTTCCCTCAGAGAGCTATTCATCTCGTTGAGAAGATGGCCCTGTGTTGCCCAGCTCAAAGGAAACAGGGAAAGTTGGGCGTGTCGGCTGCAAACCTGGTAACCCCCGTGTTCCAAAGACCGCAGCAGGAGGATCTTGGACTTCAGGCCAGTGTGGGCTACTGAGACTGTCTCACACAAGTAACCCAACACGGGGCGGAGGGTGTAACACCATGGCCTAGTTGCGTCTTAGTTTCTGAGACAGGGTCTCCCTACGCAGACCAGGCTGCGCCTTGAACTCATAGGCCCGCCTGCCGTTGCCACCCAGCGCTGGGATTAAAGGCGTGCGGCACCACATCTGGCAGTTCTCATTATTAACCTTGTGTGGAGCCGCCCGGCTATAACCCCGGCATTTGGGATGGGGAAGCAGGAGGGTCAGCAGTTCTAGGCCAGCCTCGGCTACACGAGACCCAGAAGAACCTAGTTGTATTTTTACTTTTCGGGTCGTTGTGAACATTCGTTCGTTCATGTCACTCGATTCCTCAAGCGCCCGCTAGTGACAAGCGCTTTGTTAGGATCGGACAGTAAAATAGGAAGAGAGTCATGGCCATGCTCTCATGGCACTAGCAGCCTAGTGGTAATAAAGAAAGAATAAATTAGAAGTTCAGTGGGTTTTTTTGTTTTGTTTTACATCGTGGTCTATCTTTCTTCTTCTCGCTAGCGTCTCACGTCTCGAGGGCGGGGGTGACTTGAGCAGCGGTAAAAGAGCAGCCGCGCTGAGAATGAGCCCCGTGTGGTTGGTGCGCGCCAGTCGCACTGCCTGCGTCACTAGGAGAGCTGACGGCCGACGCCCCGCCGCACGCCGCTCGGCTCGCCCCCGGGGGTGGGGGGGGTCGCTTCTTGGCGGACTAACCGTGACGGGCGGGGTGGGTCTACGCGCGTGTGCACGCGGCACTCTCTGCCCATGGTCCGGGGACTTTCCCCTAGGCGGAAGGATAAGGAACGAGTCCCTCGTGCGTAGCCTAGGAAACAGGCCTTCAGAGCGAGCTGCTGCACAGGGCCACGTAGCAGCCGTTTTATAGCTCTACCACAGCGCTTACTTTACAGTTATGGTGACGGAATTGGTCGTTTCTACTCTTAAAAACTACCAGCCACTGTCTTAGGCATTGATACTTTAGGCTGAAAGGTTCTGGAGCCATTCTTACTTAAGGAACATATAAATAGATAGGAAATTAATTAATATAGGAAAGCCATATGGGCGTGGTATTATGCAAATATTATTTGGCCCGCCCCGTGGGATGGGCGTGGCCACCCAAGGCGACCCAGAGCCGGAGCGGCGCTAGTCGCCTGCGCGTGCGCACTACGGCGGGAAGCCAACGCCGGAACGTGCGGGCACGGGGCGCACCTCCCCGGTGAGCCAGGCATGGCGGGCGCGGGCCCGGTGTCGAGTGTGCTGGGGCTGCTGCTCGTGTCGGCTCTGTTTGGGGCCCTCGGAGAGCGCCGCAGCCCCGATCTGGGGGCACACCCAGGTACCAGCGAGGGCTGCTGGAGGGAGGCTTGGACTGCCTGGGAGAAGCGTCCTCTCCGCTGACGGGTGTCTTCAATCCGCAGAACGCCGCTCCCAGGTCGGTCCCGGCGCCACCGAACCCAGGCGGCGGCCGCCACCCAAGGACCAGCGCGAGCGGGCCCGGGCCGGAGCGCTGCCTTTGGGGGCGCTGTACACTGCGGCCGTCGTGGCTTTTGTGCTGTACAAGTGTTTGCAGGTGCGGTGTGGCCGTGGGTTGGGGGTGGGGAGTCCTGGGCCTCAGTCTCCTGGGGGCGCTACGGTGCCAAGAACAGGACCCCGCTGCGCGACTGCCTGTGAAATAAAGACCGGTTCCTTGGTTGCCCCCACGTTATGGGGGTTCGAGGATCCAGAGACGTAATGGATGTAAGGCGCCCGGGAAGTGACCGTTACGTTTACTCCTCCCACAGTCCCGTGAAGAGCGATTTTCTTACTCGAGATCATCCACCTAGTGTCCGATGAGAGTGGGATTTTAAACCAGCTAAATGGCGTCTGCATGTGAAAAAAATGCAGTTACTGCTGAGCCTCCAGCCATGGCCCCAGGGCTTAACCGCTGCAGCAACAGTGTTAGTGTGCCAGACACCAAGCCGCTTTCATGTTCTCCTTGGGAAGGGAGCCCTGAAATGTGAACTGACAGCAGTACATTCTGACCACCCAGGGCTGTATCTTCAGCCCTGATCAATTACTTGTATTAGGAAATAGAGACTGAACTAGTGACATAAACTGAACTAGATGAGATGGCTAGTAACGAGCCCAGGCAGACTTGACAGGCTAGAATGGGGATTGGAATTCAGTGATAGATTAGTAAATTCTAGCCAGGCGTGGTGGCACACGCCTTTAGCCCCAGCACTAGGGAGGCAGAGGCAGGAGGATCTCTGTGAGTTCAAGGCCAGCCTGGTCTACAAAGCAAGCTGATAGCTTCCCAGTGTTATAATAACCTACTTTGTAATTAAAGGGTCCACCCATCTGAACAGTGGGAGAATTGTCTCCTAAAAATAAACCTTAGGGCACCACCTTTAAGAACACTATATGTTCAGTAAAACAACCTGGGGGTAATGAGAATTGAAAACTGACTTGACAGATTGGGGATTTTATACCAGCAGAAACTGAGCGAGTTGGACTTGGAGGCAGGAGGATTGGATTAGAAGTCCAAAGCCTGTCCTGACATTAGCAAGACCCTATCTCAAAGACAGCAAATAGCATGGAGGGTAGGGATGCTAAACAAGGAAGCAGGGATATGACTGGGCAGTCTTCGGAATCCTACTGTAGAGTTTCACATTCCAAAGAGTGCTTTAGCAGTCTGACCATATGTGGGCATACCGACATGTTGTTTCATGTCCTGGGTAAGCAGCTGGACTAGAAACTATTGTGATTCTGAGGTGAATGCCCAGAGCTTTCTCTGGTTCCTGCCTTCACTGGCCTTGAGGACTAAGGTGCTGGGGCCTTGCTGCAGCAACTTTACCCTTTCCTGCTTCCACAACAGGGCCCGGATGAGGCTGCCATTCTCCAAGAGGAAAAAAACAAGAAGAAATCCTTGCAGTCAGGTGGGTTGAGCCGTAGTAGTGGATTTTGTGAGGGGGATGGTCAGGGGACTGCAGGAGTAACCATTCTGTCTACCTTCCTCCCAGAACAACAGCTGGTACAGTTGACGCAGCAGCTGGCCCAGACGGAACAGCACCTGAACAATCTCATGACCCAGCTGGACCCCCTTTTTGAGCGGTGAGAATTTGTGGGGTGAGTGGGGAGCCACGGAGACAGATTGAGCAGCCCCTGAGTGGGTGTTTCTGCAGGGTGACTACTCTGGTTGGAACCCAGCGGGAACTCCTAAACATGAAGCTCAAGACCGTCCACCAGCTCCTCCAAGACTGCAAGCCTGGCAGGGGTGTGCCAGTTCCAGGTAAACGATCAATCGGGAAGTGGTGGCTGGGAGACAGAGCCGTGACACTGGAGCCAGCTGGTCTTTCCCTCACAGAGGCCAGCGTACCGTTTCCTGAGGACGTGGGGCAAGAGGACCAACAAGAAGCTGAAGACAGTCAGGCCTGGGAGGGGCCCATAAACTGGAGCCCAGATTCATGGAACCTAGCTCCTTCCTGGGAGGTGCAGCAGGGGCTAAGGCGAAGATGGCCCAAGACTGTGACAGAGGACCCAGCAATGAAGGGGGGCCAGCCACTGAAGGGTTAGTAAACCAAGTCACCTCGTCCTGGGTGCTCCTCTGTGCTTTTCCTGCTCCCAGCTGGTCAGACACAGGAATACGAGGTGCTGAAGGCAACTGGGCCTCCCAGAAAAGGTTCCCTTATTAGGAAAAGAGAATGCCTTCCAGAATTCCTGAGGCTCCCGATACAGCAGCCATCAAAGCTCAAACGCCTTTTTCTTGTGGTTTAAACAGAAAGGTCTTTCCAAAAACACAATAAAACAGCACTTTATTAAAATCCAGTAGGAAAATAAATTATAGAACTTTCACAATAGGAGGTAGTTCAGGAAGATCTAGAGTTCGAGGCCAGCCTGGGCTATATGAAACCTTGTCTCAAGAAAAGAAAGGAACTGTATACAGTAGCCAGGTGTGGCAGCACACACCTGTAAACCCAACACTTGAAAGGCTGAGGCAGGAGGATTTCAAGTTCACAGTCAGCCTGGGTCCCATAGTAAGACCCTGTCTCAAAAGTAAAACAAGAAACCACAGTTAACAAAAGTGGCCTCCTTTGCAAAGCTGCAAACCTGGTCAGCATTGAGCCCCCAGTGGCATGGTGTTAAAGGAGCTGGATCAACTGGGGCTCGGCTGGCTTGGCCTGCTTTCTGCTGCTGCTTTCGTTTTTTAAAACGAGACAGGGTTTCTCTTTGGAGCCCTGGCTGTCCTAGAATTCGCTCTGTAGACCAACCAGGCTGGCCTAGAATTCAGAGATCCGCCTGCCTCTGCCTCCCAAGCGCTAGGATTAAAGGCGTGTACCACCACCGCCAGCTTGCTTTCTGATAAGCTAGTTAAATGCCCCGTGTCAACCTGTGGAGGGCCCTGTGGTTCCAAAGCTGCAGTTTGATTCCCTTTTGTTCTTGGCTCTGCCCTTCCCTGAGTATGCAGAGTTCGGGAATTTTAAGATTCTTCTTAGGCATGCCCAACTGCCACATATATCCCAGGATAGCTATGAATGTGGCCCAGCACATTTGTAGATGACAATGTCATGTCGCAGTGTCAAAAGGTTGGACACGTCCGTGAGTCTGCCTCTTCTGGCTTCTGTGGGAAGAAAACAGTTCAGGCGCTGGGATGAGTGCTCTATACAAACAGTTGCCTATGGGGCTGGGGGAGCCCTGCTGTGAGAGAAGCACTCCTGTCCAGCTCACAGCTTACCTGATAGCCACAGTCAGGCTGTGGTACCACCGTGACAGCTCCTCGTGGTCAGTGGACATAAGCAGTAGCTTCTCGTCGGGGAAGGACAGCTAGGGAGAAACCACTTTAGTTCAGAACAAGTCAGGCTGCAGCTGTCATTGGTTCCACAATGTGAATTCAGGGATATGATGATGAAATACGAAAGCTTAGCCCCAACAATCCCCTTACTCATGCAAAGGGACCCAGGCCAAGTGATACGCGGGTCTGTGAGTGCCTGAAGTCTATTTGGGGCTCAGATTTCCCATCTACAACTTACACTGAGCAAACCACCACAAGTTCCTCCTGAGTGGCCGAAGACCCTGTTGAGCTGACACTGGGACATAGGGTACAGGGCTCTGCAGACAAAGGTGCCACTCTTCAGCAGGTGCAACGGGGGTCGAGGCTTGGCCATGAGGAGCACATCCGAGAAGAGGAAGAACATGCGGGGCCGAGGCTCCCCGGTGGGAGGCACCACTAAAAGCCAGCCCTGTCGTAGGAACCATCGCCCTAGAAAATGAGAGAGCCATTATTTTGTACAGCTCAAGAATCCATGGGAACACAAAAAGGCAGAGGAAGTTCAGGGGTGGGGAGGTAATCTGCTGGCTTTGTTTTTTTAAATTATTGTGTGTATATATGGAGGTCAGGACAACTCCGTGGAGTCAGTTCTTCCTTCTACCTTTATGTGGGTTCCGGGATTAACTCAGTTCATCCAGCAGATGCTCTCACCTGCTGAGCAGCAGCCATCTTGCCAGCCCAAGATGCTGGCTTTGTAGTGGCAGAGGAGTGGGTAAGCAGGGGTCCACTGAGGACTGAGGGCAGAGTCCACGGTTTACCTGAAGTAAGCCCTTTGGCCTTGCGTCCGCTGAGTAGAGCCTGGACACGCCGGAGGTGCTGGGCGTTCTTCTGGCTCTGGCCAATGGTGTGGACTCCCTGGGCCGTCTCACTCACCAGGCGGGCAGCCCCTGGAACAACACCCTCTACCTCACTTCCAACAGAACTTTGGCTTGAGTGTCTGCTGGTGATAAAGGTAGGCTAGCCTGGAGGGGCTGGGGTCAGGGTCTCGCTTCTTGAAGAAAGGCAGGGAGGGCACGTAGGGACACTGTACATGTAATGGAAGATGGGGACACACCAGACGCTGTTAGAGGTCAGACCCAGAAAGGCTGTAGGACAGGCAGCCTCTGCCTGGCTTGGAGAAGAACAAGAACCTACGTGTGAGCTGTTGGTAGTCAGGACTGTTGGGAACTGTGTTTTCAGCCAAAGCCACAACGAGATTCTCATACCTGGGAGTAGACAATTGGTAGTGAAGGAAAAGAAGTAGAGGCAGGCAAAATGCCCTGGTTTCATAGGACCTGCAGATCAGCTCCCGGACGTTCATTCCTTAATTGTAGGGTCAGGAAAGGCCTGGCTCTTCCGATGCCCTTTAACTTAGAATCTGGGCTCACACTACACAGGCCACTTCCATCCCACACTGAAGAATCACTGGCAGACTAGAGTTCACAAGGCTGGGCCAGAATATGGAAGTTAATCAAACCAAGGAGGCTATCACAGACAACCTAGGAGCCCTGGAATAGAACTTCGAGACTAGGCTAACCCCTCATCCCAATGAGCTTTTCCAGATAGCCTGTCTCAGGCCTTAGTGCAGATCCCCCCACTTCAGTATCCCATCCCACAGCTGCAGACCCTGGGTACCCCTGTACTTCAGTATCCAGTCCCACAGCTGCAGACCCTGGGTACCCCTGTACTTCAGTATCCAGTCCCACAGCCGCAGACCTGGGTACCCCTGTACTTCAGTATCCAGTCCCACAGCTGCAGACCCTGGGTACCCCTGTATTTCAGTATCCAGTCCCACAGCTGCAGACCTGGGTACCCCTGTACTTAAGTATCCAGTCCCACAGCTGCAGACCCTGGGTACCCCTGGACTTCAGTAACAGCCCACAGCTGCAGACCCTGGGTACCCCTGGACTTCAGTAAACAGTCCACAGCTGCAGACCCTGGGTACCCCTGTACTTCAGTATCCAGTCCCACAGCTGCAGACCTGGGTACCCCTGTACTTCAGTATCCAGTCCCACAGCTGCAGACCTGGGTACCCCTGTACTTCAGTAAACAGTCCCACAGCCCCAGTCTGAGGCTGCAGACTCTGGGTACTCCCGAGGGTTCACATTTCCTCTGGTAAAAGCTCCTTAGAAGCCGGGCGGTGGTGGCGCACGCCTTTAATCCCAGCACTCGGGAGGCAGAGCCAGGCGGATCTCTGTGAGTTCGAGGCCAGCCTGGTCTCCAAAGCGAGTACCAGGAAAGGCGCAAAGCTACACAGAGAAACCCTGTCTCGAAAAACCAAAAAAAAAAAAAAAAAAAAAGCTCCTTAGAAGTCCTTGGGCCCAGAGAGGCAGAGCTGGGATGGCATCCCCACAAAGCTGCAAGCAGCAGTTACGCAGCCTGGGAGATAATTCCAGTCTAGAGGGGTTTACTCACTGCTGGAGCCGCTGCAGAGGCAAAGGGAGCAGGTCCTGGAGCTGAAGACCCCCAAATTCAGGGCGGCCTTCCTGAAGCCGCACAAACCTCCGAAAACGTTTATTCTTCTTCAGCTGCTCCTGGAGGAGAGGGAGTGTTTGCATCAGGGAGGGAAGCCACTCCTTATATTGCATGCATCTGTGCACGCACTCGCAGCCTTCAGCAAGCTGTGCACTCCTGAGGGAAACCTGGTCCTCCCAGGGATGTTAGCAAAGAGCTGGACTCTAAATGCAAAACACTATTTAGTTTAGGTCTCTGATTAAAGCTAAAGGAGGAAGCCAGGAAGAGACAGTTACCTGAAGGGTAGTCTGAGAACTCTCTGCATTGGCAGCAAATTGAGTGTAGAGCTCCAGGTGGGAGCAGAAGCCCTCTAGCCCCGGCCCCCAGTGTCCTTCTTCCAAGTAGGGAAGCAGCTCTCTGTGTGGGCAAAGGACATTAAAGGGACAGGCCAACAACTACTCAAGCACCCCCTCATATACTTCCCATAACCCTGCCTCGGAGGTAGTGCTATTATCCCATTTTACAGCTGGCGCACAGGTAGGTTAAGGCACTGGGCCAAGGCCACAGGTGAGAAAGTTGGCAGATGAACTTGGCCTTTCTGACTCGGCTCTGTGGTCCCTCTCCAGGCAACGCTTCCACTCACAGGCTAGCGGCATAGATGCTCTCCCAGGTCCCAAACAGGGTCTGGCGCTCTGGTGGTCGTAGCGTTCCCTTGGCTTTCAGGATCCCCAGGAAGTACTGTGAAGGGAAAGAATACAGTTTTCCAAGAGGAAGCCAACGTCAAGGTGCAGTCAGAAACTACAGACGTCAGTCTGAACTCCCGACCCTGAGGAAACAAGGTCTGAGACCCTCCCACCGCCCGGCCGAGCCCCACCGTGGCCACCAGCCCCAGTTGTTCCTGGTAGCGCCGCTCGGTCTCCAGCAGCTCCCGAGCGGTGCAGACACGCTTCCGTTCCCATCGAGCACGCTGCTCTCGCAGCGGACAGCGCGCGGTGGAGCCCGGGCTCTCCATGGCTGGCCCAAGGTTCCGGGATTCCCGCAGCGTCGCGCCGCAGATTCAAATTCCAACCGCTCGGGGGGCGGGGCCGCGGAGGTGTGGCCCCGGAGCGGAGCGCTCCGCAGAGAGCATGCGCGGGCGGCGGCTCGCCCGGCCGGTCCCCTCTGCTTGTGTCCGGCCCGCCCGCCAGGGCGGCGCTATAGGAGCGCTGAGAGGTCGCGCGAATGCCTGGTGTGGCCGGTGTGCACCCGGCGCGAAGGTGGCACAGCAGTCGGAACACGGAGACAAGAGACTCCAAAATGCAGACGTTGACAGGGCCTCAGTAACTAACTGCAGA